CCATTTCCAAACTAAGAAGGTAGAGCCTCGCGTAAAAAAGTGCATTGTGCTCAAAAGGATCTCGCGCGTTGCGGAAGGTTTCATACTGCTACCTGCCCGTACCAAGCCAAGTCAATTGTAAGATGTTCCTGAAAATCAAACTATTTCAGCCTTGCATGCTCATATGTACAGAACCATACAGTGTAGCGACATGAGATGCAAAGAAGTGCATTCCTTGTTTAATTTTGAGTTAAATAGTGTATAGTTGCATGCGTTTTAAGCCTCCATTTAAAATATTGGGCTCCATTAAAACAACACGGCTAGGCCTTCGCGCGCAACCCGCCGTGGATCGTCGTGCAGTGCTCCTAGAAACTGTCGCATGCTAGAAACTGAAATAATTGAAGCACGCTTTTGGTGGCAAAACACTCCCACCCAATGCTCCAGTGGCCACCAACAAAAGTGGCGTGGCGGCACAAAATGCCACCTTTGTATCATCAGAAACTTGGAGGAGGGGGTGGGGGTGTCGCATTGGCTCCCCATATTGGGTCGTTGGGTCAATGTGCTGTTCATAAGGAGATAGCTACTTGATGTGAAGCTATTCACAAATTTCAACGCAATTTTCTCGCTTTTGGCAGCTATTGCATGACAGATTTTTGAATTAACATCATAAATGCCCATTTTAATGACGACTGACTGGGGTAACCTGGCCTGACATAAGCTGACTGTACTGGGTCGCTTTGGTCACCTAAGTACTCCTCTGGCAATTAAGGGCTCCGGCACCGGAGTGAGTTGATCATCTTCAAAGCCCTCTAGAATCTTGGGTTCTTATTAACTCTTCAGGGAGCTTTTGGCCACTGGGAGGCCCATCGCTCAAGAGACCTGCTGTTTTTGGCGCCTGCTCTGTGGATAATTCTGAGCCCTCAACAGTTCCTCAGGCCGCACGACGCAAAATGCAAACATTCTTTTTTTTTGCAAAATTTTTTTTGCAAACAAGGTACGCCGATGCGCTCGCAGGCACGCAGATTCTGAACACATGCTTAAAGCCACGTATGCGTAGAATTATTGGAATTATTGCTTATCTCTCTTTTACCAAAAGTGCTTTAAGCTATGGCTTATTTTTTGTATACTCCTTGTTTCATATCTTAGACACTTATAGCAATATAAACTTGATTTTATCACTTCTACTCAAGCAACATTTTCAGCTATCATTTCAAAACTGGCAGAACATGAGGACCAGGATGCGGACAGGCAGCCCGACATTGCAGGGGGCCAGCTCAAGCATGGTGGTGGTTGGGGGCGGGCATGACCCCGAAAAATTATAAGTTCCACCGATGCGGAACAACTTACGAGAAGCTTGGAAAATACGTTTTGCGACGAAAGTGATGAGTACGCGTTATGGCGTCTGCAGTGTTGGAAGATTTATACTGAAAGGATGCACGCATAGTGAGCTTCACTTGCTTTTTCTTAGGTGTTGCAAGTTGTGCACTCAATGTTAGGGCATTCAACGCCCAACGCCCTCCGTGAGAGTGTATGCTTTTCCTCGCCTTAACAGAACGCGTGTACGCGCGTTCTACAACCAGGGATCTTCCTCACGTTGTGTGTGCTCGGGGGTGGGTGGCAGTCCTCCACACTCCGGACGTTGTGGGGCCTTGTCACCCGCTTCCCCTACATTGGTGGGGCCCCCGCTCAGAGGCACGTCACTGTTCATGAAATTCGCTATCTTGCGAATTACTTGCGTCGGAATGTAAGCAGCTCTCATTTCTTGGCGAAAATAATAGGCATTCGATCAAAGCTATTGTCCAGTACTACAGTCCGAAATACTTGCGTTCAGACCATTTTAAAATAAAATGGCATATTTTAGGTTCCTAGTGGTCTATCACAGTAACTACTGGTTATACGGCAACAAAACGTTCTCATTTTTACATGTGATGATATCAATGACTTATTTGTGTTGGCATCTTGGAGTGGTTAAACCATTTGTGAGCTGTGTCTGCAGAAGATGCACATGACCATGCCCGCGGCTTTTGTTGGGAACGTTACTTCGGGGAGATGAAAACATTTCCAAGACAAACAAAACATGCCGCTACCAATGAATATCTGTGGCATTGATCTGCCGGTTTCTGCGACATCTTAGCTTCCGGACTCGCACACAGTTGCTCGCAAGATATTCGCAGCTGTTGGATTTACCTTGCTCATGGCGTTCGTCAAGGTATTTCCATCCCTGTTACAAGTCTCGTTTTCCACGGACTGAAGTGTACGCACTTCGCAAGCGCCTTTGTGTGCCTTGTTTCATCGCGAAAATCCACTGAACCATACCGGTCGAACATTTTTTCACATCGATCTCAAGGAAATGAAACAGTTTCAGCGCCCAGACCATGGTGACTATGCCCTTTCTGTTCATAGCATTGAACACAGTATTCAGAACGTCCGATTTATATCGCAGATATGTGCCAAGATGTCTTTTAAACGGAATGTTTCACATTTAAAGATATTGCAGAAAGCGTCGGGTATGACGAAACAAGCTCACTTACAACTATTGGTATGTTTTTAGCAGAAAAGACTACTCTCGACAGCATAATTTCCGTGTTTAGTAAATATCCTCCTCAATGCGCCATTGTCTATTTACGTCACTGCACCTTGCACAACATGGAGTGAGAGCTGATTGACAGCCGCTACGTCTGGAAATCGTGCTCACGAATGTCAGATATCAACGACTCGACCATTAGATTTCTCCCGGCCTTGATCGCTGCATGGCTTATGGAATGACAGGAGCTCAATGACGTTATTATTACGTAAGTTGTTCAGTGCATTAGCGAGGAGTATTAGTCACACATATAAGACAGTAGTATTAGCCTTATTCCTCGGATAAGCCAGGAGAATGGAGATATAGTTAGATTATATATTTACTATACACCTAATTACGTCTCCATTCTCCTGGTTTTTCCCGAGAAATAAGGCTAATACTAGTGTATTATCTGCGTCATTATCATGTCATGAATACCAAGGTGACCTAGAAATACTCCCCTAGCAGGAATTTGGTTCTTAGAAGGGCGGATTGTGAACTGCACTGGTTGTCAAGCCGTCATGATCATCGGTCGTCAAGATGGCCATTTCAATTCAAGACCCCATACAGATGTGGTGCGCTCCCTTTAATGTAAGACAGGCTGAGAATGACGCTTATCAGATTGTAGCGGCCGATGCTCGTAACCATTCTAATGTTTCAAAATGGCTCATAAATTGTTGTTTTGCAGCAATTTAAAATACTTCAATAGCTTTTCTTATCGGGGAACAAGTAAACATGCAGGAATTTTGTTTTATTTTTTTTCGTTAATGATGAGGGAAGAAATGTGTGAATGACGCAACTTTTTTCTGAGCACGTGCAGCATTGGATTCGTATTTTTTAACCGAAAATAGTTAAAATGCGGCAGTGATGATATCCGGGTGAGAATTGCGTAGTGGGTATAAGTAGCCACTCAGAACTGTGGTCAGAGAAGCCCAGAGCAACAGCTCATCTACCGGAGAGTCGCATGTTCTTTCGACTTGTGACGATTATACAGTGATGTACCTTCACGATAAAATTACTGCCTTCGTCCCCTAGACCACCGAGTAGGATTGCTTGGCATATGGAGTAAGGCCGAGCATTTTGACCTTTTTTTATTTTGCTTTGGTCAGCTGAGGTGAAATATATTTCTCGGCTCAGATGATGAAATATGTTTCTCAGCTCAGCGAAATGTTTTGTGGACTGCCTTTTTAACCGATGGCATCTGAACATTACGCTTGAGATATTGAAACATTACCGCGAAGTTCGCAATGGGCTGACAGTCTATACCAAAAGAAAAACGTTTATTTGTATCAAACTCCGCTGCTACGCATCAAATAGTTCACTTCCTTCTCTAATCGTTCGCCGTCAATTAGCCGTACATAGTCGACCCGAGGCCGGCCGACCTGGTGCCATCACTTTCGGATGGGTCACGACCGGGCGGCGCGATCCGCATCAGCCTGGGCGGGCCGGTTATGTACAGCTTCCAGAATCATCTCCGTTCAAGCCCAGCCGTCTGGCAACTCGAACCAAGTCACATGTTCCTCCGGAAGTTAAAACAAACATTGCTAGACGGAGCGCGATTGAAAATTTCGTTATAAGCCATTATCAGCGCCCACACAGCCAACTATTGACTCAGGTAGTTCCGGGAAGCTCAAGGCGGTCATACTCTTTGTGATTGGTCTTGCCTTCTCGTTCCATCCATCGGACGATGTCATGTACGTTTTCAGGCGTTAGTAATGACGTGCATTACAGCATTTCTGTAAGACGCGGTGATGATCGTTTCCATTTGTAAGCGGTTTGTAAGGTGAGCAACATGCTACCCCATGAAATGCTACCGTGTATGCTACCGTAGGTGCTCACGCGATGTGAGAGAACTCACTGAAGCACAAGGCCGCTGTCGGTTGTAGGCGAGGACCCTGTGGCGTGGAGTGAGTGCTGATAAGAGTGAGATGCTGGTAAATAAAAGTTCGAGACTTACAAGTTATCTTTGCCTGCCTCGCGAAGACTGACGTCAGTCCCGGGTAATTCAAAATTGACTTTCTGGATCTCGTTCTTTTTCAACCTTGTCAGCCTTGAAAGGGTCAAACATAACTTTACTTATTTTGCTTTAATTTCTAGCATTATTGTTTTAAAGACCTGTGGAGAAACAAATTTAGCCACTTATGCTAATGAAACACACAAGCTTTTGAACAGAGAGCAAATGTGCGCTACTGACAGATAACAGCGCTGCATGCACATTAAGGGATGCAGTGATGCCAAATTCTATAAAAAAACATGTGTTGGTTGTCCGCTTTCTTCATTTTTACTGTGTAACGTAGCATGGACGGAAAAATATCGCTGCTAAAATTCGAAGAGCGAGCTGTCTCAACGCCAGTGCCTGCGACGCCCGCTGTCAACCGAGTTCGGTGCAAAGGTCATGTCATTCCGGCAAAAGTCATGGCCCTGCCGACGGGGGCCGTCACAGTGACGTCACTGTCTGACCCCTCTGCCATTCCTCATCCACGGCTCGGCATATAAGGCGGCCAGAGGACGGCTGCGCACAACCTCCTCATTTCTGCCGCTCCGCCATGCGCCTGCCGCCCCTACTCCTCGTGCTCTGCGTGCTGGTCCTCGCGGCTGAAGGTGAGTTGGTGGGAAGGTGAGAGAAGGTGAGAGCCCACTTATTGAGCACTTAGGCTGCCTAAGCAGGGAATGCGTTACGAATGACAATAGGCCCTCAGAAAACTTGTGGGGCGCTACCCTGTAGCAATTTTAGACAGGCAAAATGTCATCAAGTATTCGAATTATCATATTATAGCGTACCATTATGCTCATGTTATCAATGGCATTACACTATCATGGGCGAAAGTCATGTGTTTTTCGGCTGTTTCTAGGGTGATGTTCCCGAACGCATGCCGGGAAGTTGTCATGGATTTTGTCAATTTTCCAGCAGCCTGAGATTGGCCCAAGCAGAAGAGGTTATCTGTAGTTTGAGTCGTCCCACGTCAAGTAGGTCGCATGTTGGCGTTTGCGCACAGATGGATTTGTAGAAATTCCCTGAAGATCTCATGTCAAGCTGACAGCACGTTAGCCGACACCCACGGGCACTGCTAAGCTGGCTTCGTTTTTCAGGATGGAAGTGTTACCGTCCGCGGCAGACGTGCGGTATCTTCCGTAACAAGGTGTGCCTACTATGCAGATATGGAAAGCTCTGCTGCCGCGGTGGTGATACTTTCAGTAAGTAGAGACTGGATTTAACTAATGGCGAGGCTTTGGAAACACACATGGCTGAACTATGGAACTGGGATGGCTTGTACAAACCTTAATGACATGAGTTTGACGTCGCTGGAAGTGGCAAGGTTATTACTTTTGCTGTTGACATTGGAGTCTTACTAGGCGTGTGCTGCTAGATTTTACCATTGCAATGCCCGGGCAATGAGGAGAGGATATGTGTTAACGCACACCCGTGATCAGCTGACAACCATGTCTGATATGCAGACGATATCGTGATGGCTCTTTTATTCCAGGAGAGTGCCAGAGAAAGTGCAAATATGGACATTGCTATCCGTGCCATCTCGGTTTCTGCTGCCGCCCCCCTTTCTGTCAGGGCAAGAACTGCAAACAGCGCTAATCGCTCTGCTGAAGAAAGCATACCTGCCATCAGCAAGAGGACATCTCCAGCGTTCGGAGCGTTCAGCAGCTTATATCACCCAGTGTAGATGGCTAACGACGCGCGCGCAGCGATCCGAAAGAACATGCTAGCAATCATGGTCTCGCGGGCTTGGAGGGCGCTAATCAAACATGCACATTAATTGTTAATTAATTGAACGCCGTTAATTGAACACATTGGCCTGTCTGTGCACTGCTGCCGCTGAGGACGATAGCCGTCGAATGTCACCTGGCTCAGACAAATAAAGGAGATGGGTAACTCTCATTTCTATTGTTTCAAGGAAATTTCATCGAGCATTCGTAGGGATGGTTTGCTACCAGTCATTGCCGAGCATAAATTGGTGCGAAGAACCTGAGCCCACCACCCCGGCGCGGTAATTTCAGTCCAAGTGACAACTTTTGCGGATGTATTTTAACGTGCCGCGCAGTGTCATGACACGGCTGCACCGGTGTCAGTCCGGGTGTCTCGGCCAGCAGCCGATCAACAGTCAGCAGACGAGCCGCACGAGGGCGCTGTCAGGGGCACCGCATCAACACCCCAGCGTGCTCTCAACGCGACACTTTGGTTGGGTGCCCGTTGCCCCACTAACTAAGCTAGACAGGAGACTGCATCGTTCGTCCATCGTGCTTCCAGAGCATCGCACGTGATTGTGGAGAAGAACATAATTACGATACAATGCAACGCAATAGAAAGCCGCGAAGAGGTTTTTTCTTCGTAGTTGCTTGATCAATCTGCTCAGCACATTTGCTTTATTCTCCATTCCTTAACAAACCATGCTATATCCGGAGACGTTACGTCGGGTGACCTCACCCCCACGTGGCAAAGAGTTAGCTTTAACTGGCATTGACTTTTGTCCTTAGTCAACATCACAATTCTAATGCCTGTCCATACGTTTGGAGCCGATTTAAATGTTTTACAGCCACTATTGCGGCAGCCAGGGAGCCCTGAATGCCATCCAAGATTGAGGCAAATGCCAGCGTGTTTTGCGCGGCCTGCGACGCCTCCGTCACCTGACAGATGTCAGAGGTCGATGGTAGAATTGACCGTGGGCCTATCGATCGCCGTTGGACAAGACTAGGGCCGGATGTACCAGGCTGCTTTTACTTTCTCCAAGCGGTTGCGTGTGAGGAAATACACCAGGTGCCGTTATTAAGACCTCCGGGTACTTTGGAGAGAAGATCCAAACACCACGTAACTTCTAATCACGCTAATAACCAAGCCAGCCAATAACCAAGCTAATCATGTAGACGCGCTTTCCTAGGGCGATCACCTAAGCCGTCACAATATAGGGAAGTGTTCAATGACCCGCCCACGACGCCGAACAACAGTGTGTTGATGATCAAGCTGTCAGTGGTTTGGAGTGCTGCTGATCGTGACTGGCGCATTGCAAAATTAGCTTTCTGCCATAACATGACCGAGTCAGGCCCATCATGCTCTTCAAGGTCATCCTGCAGCGGCTCAGTGATGTCGCAAATACGATCGGCGCACATCGGCGCTAATGCTCTTCGGACATTGGTGGTGCGTGACACGGATGATTAGGTCGTTCTGCTCGAAATCGACTGTTCCCAGGAGACATTTGTCGGGAATCAACATCTTGGCGTCCGTTGCGTGGGCCTGTGAGGAGGAGCGACCAAGCCTCTCAGCCAATCGGAAGATTTGTTGAACTGTGACGTCAGTGCAGCGAGTACTTGGCTGTCATCAATTTCAATCGTATGGAACCTTCAAATCAACTGCCATCAGTGCGACCAGGTCAGTGCGTAGTCGTGCCGCCGCTTTGTGTGGCCCGCGAGCGCGATCAGAATAGCTGTTTCTGCGTTTGGGCCGTGGTCGCTCACCTTGCGGAAGAAGAACATACGTTGGCGAGCGGTATCCGTCTCTTTGCGGCACCGATTATGAATACACTTGTGTCCTTTCGTTCCTTTTAAAATAGCCTCAAGGCCCAATTCCCTTAACGCCGCTGCCAGCGAACTCTTTGCAGTCAGTGAAGCAGTTTTATATTCCTTTCCTTTCCACTCACAATCACTTAAACCCCAAGCGTAAGCATTGTGAAAACGTAACCTGCTGAAGACGCCACGATGCACGGTTCCGTTCCTGGCCCGACCATCGTTGAGAAGCTAGGACTGGCTCCCAAAGCGAGGGAGGTCCCCCCAGCTCGCCACTCGACACCGTTCGACGCGGGCCGACGTCCGGCCTGGTCCCCGACACCGACGGCCGGCGGCCGGTCCGCCGCGCGCTGGAAGGAGCCGGAGACCACCCGGCGTGACCAGACCGCGCCACCTGACCTGCGCTCGACCGCGTGTGGCCCACCTGCGGAGTACTGCTATCGGCTGACTTGGTATCTCATCTACGCTGCTCTGCTCGTGGTGCTGGCTGGCGAGCTGTACATGGCCGTCTCCAGGTGAGGTCTGGTGCGGACTGGGCTACTCGCGGTGCTGGCTGGCGAGCTGTTCATGGCCGTCTCCAGGTGAGGTCTGGTGCGGACTGGGCTGCTCGCGGTGCTGGCTGGCGAGCTGTTCATGGCCGTCTCCAGGTGAGGTCTGGTGCGGACTGGGCTGCTCGTGGTGCTGGCTGGCGAGCTGTTCATGGCCGTCTCCAGGTGAGGTCTGGTACGGACTGGGCTGCTCGTGGTGCTGGCTGGCGAGCTGTACATGGCCGTCTCCAGGTGAGGTCTGGTGCGGACTGGGCTGCTCGTGGTGCTGGCTGGCGAGCTGTACATGGCCGTCTCCAGGTGAGGTCTGGTGCGGACTGGGCTACTCGCGGTGTAGGCTGGCGAGCTGTACATGGCCGTCTCCAGGTGAGGTCTGGTGCGGACTGGAAGCTGCTGGCGGCTTAAGCGCGTGTCTCTGGATCATGAGGTCTGGGCTAGGCTCGTGCCACGCAGGTCTGCACTCGCGTTGGTCTGCGTCAGAGCGTTTCGTTTTCATGGGCTTAGTAGTCACGTGCGATGGCAAACAGCCGAAGACAAATTGTAATTGATAAATTGATATACATATATATATATATATATATATATATATATATATAAAATAGAAAAAAACATCGGTCAAAATATATTAGGGCTGTGACGTAACTGGTGGCATTGCACGCAAACACAGTTATGGAAAATTTTGACGTTAACACTGACCCAATGACATAGTGTACCACGTTTGATAACTGGATGATGAAGACACGAGAAGATAGACTCAAGTTCCACCCCCGTTGGGAAAAAAGGGACGATGAAGTAGTGAAATACGCCGTTGTCTATGTTTCAATTCCTTTTGCGATAACTGGAAAATTGATTTTACGCGTGAGTTAGTAGCAATGAAGCACAACACAACAAATCGAGACACATGAACAAAATTACATTGGTTTATGTTATTTCGTTGCGGCAAACCTTTAGCGCATCAGTGACAATACATATGGAGCTAGGAATTTAGTTGGTAACGAGTTTCATAAAATCATGATTTTATTCTCCCTCAGGTGCAAATGAGACACCAAGACTTTGTTATGAACAATATTTCATGACGAGCTTTGCTACATGTTATGTGCTCTGACCTGCTACTTGGGCTCATTGTCATGACAGTGTAGTTTAAAATGGCTTAAACCTTAATACCAGGCGTGCATTGTATGCAACCAAATTTCTATTAAATGCACGTTTCGCGCCATTCATTTTTCTCATCTAGTAATGATTGACGTTAGTGGTACGTTTTTTCTGCTGTTTTCGTCCCTTAACACGTGCTCGGTTGTTAGGGTGAGTTTGAATACCAAAGGTTTTCCAGAATAATTTCTAAAGGCGCAGCGAAGCCGCGCCAAATTGCGCATAGCCACAGGCTGTTAAATCTAGCGGCTCCTTTCATACAAAAATGAGATGTACCTTGTAAGTTCAATGACCTATGGCAAGTCAAAGTCGGGCTGTGGCTGTCAGCAAAGACGATCTCTAGGGAATCGTTCATTCTGATGCGACGACGAAGTGTTAGACGAGACCATGCATAAGCATTTATAAGACAATTTCTTAGGCAATTAGATAACTGAATTTAGGGTTACGATCAATTTCATTCACCTTAGGTCGGGTATGATGGTGAAACCGAGGTGAAAACTGGTCCGCATTTTTATTGGAGGACCTTTTTGGGGCAGTTTTCGCTACTTATTTCAGATACATAGATAACCGAGACTGCAACAGGCATCTCCCACGGACTTTTTAAGGTCAGGGTGGGCCACTCACCTCAAATGGCTTAGATTAAGCTATAGCTTTAAAAACACACCGCCTCGCAAAATCCTTGGCGCTTATTGAATTTCTAAAATCAAAATAATCTTTTAAGTTTTTGCCACCGTTAAATTCTAAAGGCTAAACAAGGGCACTGACCTGTATTGACCACCAGTGGTCTTTGAAGTTGTGTGACTACCTTCCACCTTTTGCTGGTGTACCATTTCATCCCGCGTGCTTGTTCTGCCCTCTCCCTCCCCCTGAAATTCTGGCGATGCTGCACACCGGAAGTCGTCCGCGTGAAGGTTATACCGTTCCTGCGCAACGAACGCACCATGTCGCGGTCATCATCATGTCATCTAGGAAATCATGATGTCGCGGGTGCCCCGCAGGTGCCTGGCGGGGGCATACAGTCAGCATTGGGAGTTCCTGGAGCTGGAGGATATCACGGTGCCGGCCATCACCGTCTGCCACCGCAACAAGTACAAGAAGAGCGTGGTCCTGCGCAGCACTGTAAACGGCACAAACTGGGCCGACTGGGTCAGGGAGGGTCACAGGTGTGTGCCAGACGGATTAATGAGGGTCACAGGTGTGTGCCAACCGGGTCAATGAAGGTCACATGCTTGTTCCAGATGTGTCAATGAGGCCACAGATATGTGCCAGACGGGTCAATGAAGGTCACATGCTTGTTCCAGATGGGTCAATGAGGGCCACAGATGTGTGCCAGACGGGTCAATGAGGGTCATAAGTGTGTGCCAGACGGGTCAGGGACGGTCACCGGCTGGGAATAGGCCGCTTTCGAAGGGCCACAGGTTGATGTAAGACGGGGGAGAGGGCAGCTGTAACCAGTGAGGGGGACAAGGGAAATGAAAACGGTGAAAACTGCACAGCGACAGGCGTAAAAGATTCAGTTGCTAGTAATGTATGCTATACTATCAGAACATTTCTTAATTCAATTGCTTTCATGACGTATATAATTTGATGTCTTCTATTTTTTCATAATGGGCTTAAGACCGTAGGGAAAGCAAAGATATTCTGAAAACGTATAATGAAATTCTGCGGTTGATG